TTACGTTTACGTTTAGGTTAGGTTAGTTAGGTTAGTTAGTAGTTAGGTAGTAGGTGTAGTAGTGAGGAGAGAGAGAGAGAGAGAGAGAGAGAGAGAGAGAGAGAGAGAGAGGTTTTCTATTTTGTAAGTGGACATTGGAGATTTGGATATTATTTTCATATGGTTGCTTTGGACTTTATGGTGCGCATATGTTATCTGCAGATTCAGATTGCGGTTTTAAAGTAGACCCCAAAAATCTAGGAAAAGAATGCAGGGATCAAGTGTAAAGCATTCACCTCTAGGAGCACAATATTATGAGAAGTTAGCCGAGAAAAGAGAAAAGGGTCCACACAAATGCACTTCCTTGGGTTCGAATTTTTTTGCGCACACTTGTCCTATTACTATTTTAAATTCTGTGATCCATTTTAATCACCAAAATTATTTTTTATAAGTACAAAATTGAAATTTTGTTCGAAATAAGTCTTTTATTCAAAGGATTAAAATTACAATATGCTCTCACAGGTCCACATCGTACTACTTTTCTAAGATGTTGCTTTTCGGACCATTATTTTTTGAAAGTAAAGTGACTGAGTTCGATCATCTATCTCTTTTTTTTTAAAAAAAAGATAATAATACAAGTAACCCGATTTAGAACAGAAGTTTTGATCCAGTTCGAAACTTGAAGTTCAACTAGTCTATAGCTCTTGCTAAAAAAATTATGAGTCGCCGAGTTTCAAACAAGAAAATAATGTTACTGTTCAAAAACTTGAAGTTTGAAACTGGTCTATCACTTAAAAATTACAGGTGACCCGATTCAAAGCTTTGGTTTTTCAGTGAGAAGAAAGAAGACCATGATCTGGAACTTGTAAGCTCTGAAGCAGATGTATTTTAGGTAGAGGTGTTTAACTTAGAAGAAAGAAGACCGTGGTCTGGAACTTGAAGTTCTGAATCGGATGTATTTTAGGTAGGGCAGTCAATGGCCTAGGCACATACAGACTTGAAACATTGTAGGGGAGAGCCTTGATATTTACTTTCGGCCCAAGTCCAAGCCCAAGACCGGCATGAAGTCTTAGTATTGCAGCCTGAACTTAGTCCAACCCAAAAATATTAAGTCGGTCTTGGCTGGACCCTGTAAAATATACAAAAAATTATACTTAATATAGCTTAGAACTTCTAGGGCTGCGCTATGGAAGGCAATGGCTCAACCTGAAAATATTTTGGGTCTACCAAGCCTTGCCTGGGTCTATGACATGGAGGCCTAACTTGGCTCTAAAGCCTGCGGATGATCTCGGGCTTGTTGGCAACCCTAATTTCGGAAAAAAAAACCAAACAATAGAACATGATCATAAAACGTAAGACAACCCCAACTTATAGAGGAGATCAAAGTCCTATTTTCCTTTTGGGCTTTCTTAGTCATCAGGGCTTGCAATGTTACAAACTCGTCATAGTGCTATGTAACCATACAACAGTCGATAATGGCTTGAATGGAATCCCTAGATTACTCTCTCTCTCTCAAATAGTAACACCTTTATCCCTTAAACCTTCACAGATGACAACAATGTATATGCGAATTGGCCATTACAACAGAATAAAAATGAAATTAAAAAAACCAAAGAAAGAAAACTACATTATGATTAAGGTCGCAGCAGTGACTCCCAATTTTGCAAGAGCATCCGCTTTCAAGTTTCTCTCTCTATATACGGGTATGTTTGATAGCACCTGATATCCTAATATTTCTAGATAATTTAGAATCTTCTATAATTTGAATTATATAAATTTGTATGCCCTATTTGATAGGATCAAATCATCTCTTCTAATATCTAAATAACCCAAATCTCCAATAATTCAACTCATAGTTGAATTTTGTAGAATTCTATTTCTCAAATTATATGTGTTTCTCCTCGCTCATTTCCCACTTTCGTTTCTCTCCCTCTTTCATCATTGATAAAGGGCCCCTTCGTCAACGGAGACCAAACCAGAAGCCCCATGGCCATGGCCACGTTTACTTCAAACTGGCATTGAAGCAAGGTCCCATTGCCAAACCAGAAGGGCCCTCTTGTGTAGGGCCCTCACCAAACCAAAAGGGCCACCCTACTTCAAGTTTGTATCGAAGAAGGCCCCATCGTCATGGCCACCCTGCTTCAAGACTGCATTATGGGACTCGTTCTGTCCCTGGTTACGAGATGCTGCCTTTTTAGAGTGGAATTAGAGAGGAAAGACAGGGAGTCGTATGATGCATATTGCTTGCACCCTATTTTGCTATCAAATACAATCAAACATGTACAAAAGAAACACATAACAGTATATTATATAATTCATATTCAGCGATGGCTTTATTCAAATTTTCATAAATTTGAATATTCAAATTTTGTTTTGTCAAACAGACCCTACATGAATAAAAGAACATTTCATATCTATACACCAATCTAACAGTTCCCTCATCAATTCACTAAACAACCATGGTAACTCTCTTTTCTTTATTCATCTAATCTCCTTCCACCACCACCCACCTGTATATTAATTTCTTTAGCCAACTTTAAAGCTTGTAAAGCATACCTAAGTTGAGCTTCATTTGCCATTATCACCCCAACTGGTCCATAGTATTTCTTCACTACTATATTATTATTACCCTTACCCTCTTATCCCAGCTAGCCATGATTCCCAAATGAGCTCCCATCAAAATTTAACTTAATCCACCCTTACTACAAGTGCTTCCCAAACACCAACCTTTATTCTTCATATTAAAACATTCAAATTATGCATCAAGTCCATCCAAGAGACACCCCACCACTCCTTTTTAATCGATAGCCATTCAGCTGCAGCAACTCCTATCTTCTCGCACAATTCATCACTCGTCTGTACAATATTTTCAAAACATCTTCTATTCCTCTCCTTCTATAACTCCTAAAGAATTGTTGCTTTTGCTATCTTCCATATAATTCTTCTTTTTTTATCAACTCCTATTTTCCATTGAAAAAATATCGCCTCGGCTTGCATAGGAATAACAATTTGTATACCCAACCAATCTAAACACCATTTCCATATTTTTCTCACAAAACAACATACGAGGAATAAATGGTCCACTATTTCTTCATCTCTTTTACACATTAGGCATACATTTGGCAATTTTTTGCCTCTTTTTCTCAAAACATCACATGGTCAAAGTTTTTTTAAGTTAATAGCGATACAAAAGATCTCTTTTACACATAAGGCATACATTTGGCAATTTTTTGCCTCTTTCCCTCAAATTATCACATGTTCAAAGTTTTTTTAAGTTGATAGCAATACAAAAGATCTAACCTTCAGGTATAGGCAGCTTCCATATTCTTGCTGCAGCTACATCTCTCCGCCTATTACGATCATCAAATAATTGTTTATAGGCTGATCGCACAGTGAATACACCTTTTTTACTCGGTTCCCAAACTATTTTATCTTCAACTTCTGGACATTAAGAACACTACTGCAACATAGCCAAACACTACACATATTCTTCACTAACAATCTCATCAACTATCTATAAGAACGTCTTATGTTCAACACAGTATTGAAGCCTCGACCTACTCCACTCGGCCAGGACCTTACAAAAGAAACCTGACTAAAGTCAATGTCAGGTACAAACCAGGAAGAACACCTCCTGAAAATGCTGGATTATTGCATTTTCTCATCCTAATACAACATCCTTTGCAATTCCAACAATTTTGAAACTACGAATCTTGTTAATTCTTTGCCTTGCATTGCAGTTGCATGAAAGAGTCTAGTATTCAAATCTCCTTCCTCCAATAAATTTCAACAGCCCTCAACCATTCATGCAACTATTTATTCAGCCCATTCCTTTCCATAACATCCTCAAAGGCAATGACTCCAGACTAATTTGTCCGTGGCCAATCTTCACCTTATAGTGGCATCTACTCCACTTTCTCCATTCTACTAGCTCTGTCTTGACTCCTTGAACCTTTTTCGACACCACATAGCTACAATATCCGGAAACCTCATTTCTATTACATGCACCCCTTACCAATTCATTTACCAACTTCTCCATTAGCCCTGACATTTCAAATTTGAAATAAGATCTCCCACCTATTCGATTTTCACTTTCCCAAATCAAAGTTACATGGTCTGATGATAGTTTGGGTAAAAGACGAACTGAGGCAAGGGGAAACAGTTCAGCCCATGCTGAATTGACCAGAAAGCGGTCAAGCCTCGTCATAATAGGATTTACATCACAATTATTTGACAAAGTAAATTTAGCCACAAGACATACCAGTTGTCCACTCTGGGTCAAACAACATTAAGTAGCGGAGGATCCCATACAGTCCAGATACTATACAACAAAAATGTATGGGTTTACAAACCCATACAGACTTAACAGGTTGAATACAAGGGCTTGAAATTTTTGTTTCTTGAAGCAAAACTAAATCAATGCTTTCTTTTTTGACAAGCATCAAAAGCTATAATTTTCTTTTAAAATCACCAAGACCCCTTGTATTCCAAGACAATATCTGTAAACTTTTTAAGAGAAGAACCACGTCTTATAGCATACCAGCCAACAGACACGGCCGAACCTTCGGACACCACAACCTCTTTGCCTTTGTTCGTGCTGCACTCCTGCTACTGAATGCATCCTTCTTTGACAACTTCACATTCTCTGCAGCTTCCCCTTTCCTTATCATTTTCTTCCTTGCAAGTCTTTTCTTCTCTTGGAAAGCATCCACAATCTCATCAATCGGGCCACTGGCTTGAACTTTCATAGCATCCAACATTTGATGTATCTGCTCTCTCGACTCCATCCCTTGCTCTTGATGAGTAATGTCGGCCGTTGGGATCATGCACAATGGTTGAACATCTTCAATAGTCTCTTCACCAGACCACTATGGCAATCCCATGTATCAGCACACTCCATCTCTTTATTCTCTGCTACTACCAAGCCAAAGTCCTCTGCATCAATGAAAATGACTTGATCCAATGGCCAATCACTTCCATCCGTACATTTACGAGGCCTCGTCTTGAAAGCCACTGTAGCTTTCTTACGAGGCAATAACCTCTCATGTCTTCTTCAGGTCTCAAGCACACTACACACTTCACTATCTCTCTTTCCTCTCTTTCTCTAATTACCAGTCTCCTCCTACATTCATCCTCCCTTCCATATTCTGTATGTCATTATTACCCCTCATCTCAACCGCTGCCATTGCCACATTCTCCAGTTTCTCTTCGTCCTCCACCGACCCTTACATCCTTCTATATGCAGATTTGAGAACGCCTCATCCCACCTTCTTGAACATTCACACTCCATATTACTATTTTGCCCAGAGCTACTAAGTGGACGATTCCTCTTATCATCATTGATTTTGGGCCCATTTTGTACTCCGTCCATCGGATTTCTTTCCACTGCATTTGCTATTATTTCTTCATTTTGCCTTTTGCCAATCGGACTTCTTTCCACTGCATTTGCTATTATTTCTTCATTTTGCCTTTTGCCAATCGGACGCCATTCCATCATTTTACCTCTTCCACTTTTAGATTCCTCTCGAGCCACTCAGTCTGATTTACTCCATCTCTCCAGATTCGCTTTGTGTTGCACGTCTCGTCTTCCATTAACCTTACTCTTCCTCCTCTCTTGCTATGTAAGATTTCTCTGTAACCTTACCTTGTTCATCCTCCATCGGCCTGCTCTTTGTTTAAATTTCCTTTCACTATTAACACCATTTCTCTGCTTTCTTCTCCTCACTTCTTGCTAATCATTAGCATTAATCTCAATATGATTATTTTCCCAACTTTCATCATTAATTCCTCCAGTATATGCATTTTTCCCTGATTCTGATCAAAATTTTAACTATAAAATCACAATTTTTTGCTCTAATAATAGCATTCTCAAGAATATTTTTACCCTGAATTTTCTCAATTTCATACGAAAAACACCAACATTGGCTCCCCAATCAACCTCCACAAACTTACCACATTGTTCAACGATATGCTTAAAAATATCAAAATTCCATACATGGATCGGAATACCTTCCACTCTAATCCAAAATCTTTCTAGCTTAATATTTCACAAATTTAGTATTTTTGTCAACAATTTACCCTTATCTCGCCAATGACACTGATTAACAATTGTCTCACTCTGATCTTTCCCTGATAAGAAAAACAATACAAAATGGTTCAGAAATGGCTTACATATAGGTTTTCAGAATGATGCCATACCTTCTTTGCCCATCTATCTAGGCCTTCCAGATCCAGCAATGGTGGAGAAAAGGATCCCAGCAGGGTTGATGTCAGGGCCTTTTTACAATTTAGACAAACCTCATCAGACACATTTAAAATTGCTGCCTTCTCATAGAAACCTTCCACCATTCATGGCTGCTCATTTACTCCATTATGCACACAGCATTGTGGAACCACCCTTGTAATTGCCTGAGCATATGTTAATCTTGCTTCTTGCCTGCCACCATTACCCCCACATCTAATCCTGCTCAGATCAGGAGTCTCTCTCTCTCTCTCTTATCCTGCTCAGATCAGGAGTCTCTCTCTCTCACAGACACGCACACAAACCACTTCTTTTGTTTTCTTCATCTATCGATCCAATTATAGTCATTGATTGTGCGTACCAGTGTTATTAGAACGAGAACTCCCACCAAATCAGCAAGGGGCCAGCGCTTGGGCCTGGGCCTGTTAAGATTGGTCCAAGTGCCCGTCCAACTAGTAGAATCAAATTTTAAAAAAACACAAATAAAGCAAAAGCACGATTTTTAAAATATCAAATATATTATAAAATTTTTCTTAGTTCCTCTCTCCATTCTAGTTTCTAGTGGATTATCAATCCAAATCTAATTCTATGTGCGACATCTTTATCAGTCTCTCCATTCTCATGGAGTTATCAACTCAAGATATTGAAAATAGTTTCTTTTGGGTACTTTGCCCTCAATCTGAACTAATTCTTCCTTTCTACTTCTTTTATTACGAATCTTACATTTGATATATTCGGTCTTAATCCGGTTAATTTTAAAACCTTTTGATTCTAGAACATCCTTCTAAAGTTTTCACTTTGTGTTAATGACATCTCTAGTCTAATCAATCTAAACTAAGTCATACACAAATAGCATGATATCTCATTCTATAGATGCCTTGTTAACATGTCTATAATAAAAACAAAAATATATGAAGATATATGGGCTCAACACTGAACACTATCACTCAAAATTCACTAATCTCTATACAAGTTAGCTCTCCCTTGTACATATCTCTCAACATGTCTATATATCCTATGCTACTTCTTTCTTTTCCAGCACCCATCAAATTAACTCTATCGTACTGTGTGCTTTCTCTAAATCAATAAAGATCATGTTGAAGTCTTTTTTTCTTCTTTTTAAATTTTTCAATCAAGTGTCTGAGTAAAAAAATAGCCTCAATTGTTGACCTCCCTTACATAAAACTGAATTATTTTTTGTTACACTTGTTTTATGTCACAGTTGTTCCTTGTCTTTTGTTTTGTGCATTCAATTTTCTTTGTTTTTCCCTTTTTAATCTCTTTTGTAACACCACATCGATCGTCGTACAAATTTTTATAATAATTAAAAGAATTTCATACTTTCAAAATCCATTAAAGAAAAAAAGAAGGCATGGTTTTATAAATATGCTACCTTTTGGGTTTTGTAGGGTTGCCTAGCACTCCCCCTACAAGTCATATGCCAAATTTTCTTGAGAAGAAGTTTATATAAGGTTGCAACTTTATAGTTTTAGAGAATGATCATGTTTATTTTAAATACACATTGTTGGAGGGAGTGTATCTAAACTGTAGACAATCGATTTTGAAAGATGTAGTGCCCAGAAAGCTTCTTCCATTAAAATATCTTTGACCGGTTTATCCTTTCTCTTTCTCTCCCATCGATACCCTACCCATTCTCTCTACCACTTTCTTTCCTCTCTCTCTCTCTCCCATTAAAACCCTTCCCTCTCTCTCTACCACTTTTTCTGCTCTCTCTCATCTTTGTCATGGTAGTTGTCCATCTTCCTCTTCCCTAATCTGCATTTTCCCCTCTATTCTCTCTCTTCCCTAAGATTCTCCAAAAAGAACAAGAAATTGTTCTCTGCATTTGGAGATGCAAGATACAAGTTAAAAGTAATTGTTCTCTCAAAGCTTCCCGATGTTTCATTCCGATATTTTGGAATACCAACCATGTCCCTAAAAAAACCGGCAAGGAGAAAAACCCATGAGCAGCAGCGGCTAGGTTAAAGCGATAGAAGAGTAGTTCCATTTTCGCTTGCATGCAGTAGGTTGGGGAAAAACCGGTTTTAATGGGTTTTTGGCTGTTGGATGTTAGCTTCTGAGCTGGGGTTTGGAATATTTGTAGAGCTTTGAATGGGAGGAGTTTTTGAATGAGAGAATGGGAGGGGCAGGGCGTAGGGCAGAGAGAGGAGAAAAGAGTGGTATGAAGATAGACGTATCGGAGGTTTTCTACAACTACAGAGAAGCATTTGGGGTATATGCATATTTCCAGGGTAAGAGAGAGAATGGAATTCTTTAAAAGGAAATCTAATACAATGTAATTTTAATACAAAGGATCATTCCCAAATCGGTAATGACTGTAAATGCGCAAAATTTAAAAACCAATAGATCCTTATGGTAACGGATGTTTCTTTAGTTCCCTCAATTCTATTATCTTAAGGTACCTTCAACTAAGGGGCTTCGAGATATCATCCCTCCTGAAGATCAGAGACATCCCCCAACTAAAAGGAGACTTGGAACACTTTTTTTATCAAATACGAAATGTGCAACAAAAATCTATACGAACAAAAAATTTTACTCAAATTCAGAAATTAATTTCCTGACTCCTAAAACATTAGATTGATTAGAAGTGAAAACCAGAAATCGTTTGACAAAATCATGTAAAAGAAAGTAAGAATTATCATTAACAAGAATTTTTTTTCTAAGAGAGAAAGCAGTATGGGATCCAAGAGAGACAAATGTGCATTGGTCACAACTGCAACTATATTTCAAGCCTCAAGCATTTCTTTCGGCATTGCTCATGGTGTATAAATTACAACAAACCTCAAGCTCAAAAAGGGAGCATGAGATTTGAATTTCTACTCTACATAAAAAGAGGCATGGCACAAAGTGCTATCTTAAGGTTACAACAGCACCTCTTCAGTCTTCAGAAGTCAAAAGATCAGTTGTAAGGAGAGATAAAATGATAAATGCGGTCATATGGTAACTCATGACTGGCATTTTTGGGTCTCCAAAAATTTGGATTGTACCTCATAATTTATATAGACACACACTTCATCGATACTGTGGTTAGGCTGAGCTCGTAAGCAGTAGGTTGAACCTCTGTGAAATGGGTATTTTGTTCTGGAACCAACTCTATGTAGACTCTGTTTTACCTGCTTGACTGATGTCATTGCCAGTGCGTTGGTCATTCCTATCAGTTCTTGATATTACATGGCCTCTAGCCACTTCCCCGAGTCTCTCCTGTAAAACCCAAAAAGATAGTCTCTTCTCAGCATAAAAGTATAAAATATTTTCAATAGTTCACAATATTATATAGAAAAAATATCTCCATACCCCTCATTTTTAAGTTTTATATCTCAATAGACTTAAACTTTCAAAACATATCTTAGGTCATAAAAATTCTAAGTTTTATATCGTTTAACCCTCTAAGCTAATTTTATCCCCTTTTAACCTATTTTTTTTGCCCCAAACAAATATAAAAAAGACATCTTTTTATAAAGACCATCTTTTATCTCTCTTCATGTGATTTTTCCCTAAATCACTCTCTACCTATTTTCCAACTCTCCCTCCCCCGTGTCTTTCACTCTCTCTCTCTTCCATTTTAGAGACAAAGAGGGTTAATGTTAAAGAGAGAAATTTAGGGAGAATTTATCACGTAAAGAGATGAAGGGTTCAGAATGAGCATGTTTTTTTTTATATTTGTTAAGACTAAAAAAATAATTATGGTAAAGTTAGTCAGGGAGTTAGGAGATATATTTTGAATCTTTGGGTCTATTGAGATATGAAAACCAAAAATAAAAGATACGATGATATTTCTCCTATTATATATATATATATATATATATATATATATAAAGAGAGAGAAAGAGATTATTACCGTGAGAAATTCAGATGATAAGTTATCCACTGAAGGAACAAAGGCTAACAATGGGAAATACTGTTTTACCTTCAAAGATGCATTCTGGGTAGCAAGTTGCTCAACCTCCTGCCTCACCCGACCCAGTTCAGCTTTGAGGGCAGTGTTTTCCTCCTTGAGAAGGTCAACACGCTGTGCCAGTTCTTCACACTCGGCCTGAGAAACCCCACAAGTTAATGCCCTTGCAAAAGGCTTTTGACCTACATCTTACATGTACGCACTACAACTACAGCACAGATACCTGTAGATAAGGACTTCTTTTTTTTCTTGAAAAACATGGCACTACATATGGGAACAAATAAAAAAAAAGGACAATTTTATCAGGTAACGGGGATGTATCACTTATTTTATAGAATGACACAGATGAAGTTCATTAGACATAAAGGCACTTTGCTTATCTTTCATGAATGGGAGAATATCATTCATTTTACATCTTCTGATCCCAACAGAAAATTAGAGAACAAAAGAATTGGGCCACATCATACCTTGCTAATCACAAGGACATGGGAAAGTGTCCTAAAGAAGCATTTGATCACCATTACACCCAGCTAAGAAAAGCTACTAGGGCTAGTTTCTATGGACACTAAACAAATATTGTACTATTTTTCACCCCAATTGTGCAGAAGTAATTCCCCAACACGTTGGTCTCCATCCAATTTGAAGCTCCTAGTGTGGAAAAGGCCGCAAAATAGGGCCTAAAGGAGAGGAAAAAAACTTGCTTTTCCCATATTATAGAATAGTATTATTTTGAGTACTCCTAGAGTGGCAGTCCAAACCTGCACTTGCACTGTAGGGAAGTTCTAGCTGCAAATATTAGAGCAAGGCAGAAGTCACACTAGAAAGCAAAACAAGACAAGGAATCTTATGCTGGAATAGAAAATACAGATTTACAAGTTAATGGAACAAAATTCTAGTTCAATGTTCATCAAACATAGTAAGTATTGCTGATAAAAAAGAAACAAGACAGTTTTTCTCGTGAGTTTGAAGGCCTCCAGAACAGAAAATATCTTCTATTAGGTTTTCCATGTTTCACAAGTTCATGTGCAGTTCTGAAGTAATAACTTCATAAATATGATAGCAGTGAAACTTACCTGCTTACGCATCCTTGAACGACGCGCTGATTCCCTGTTTGACTGCTTCCTTCTCTGCCTCTTAAGTTCACGTTCATCCTAAATTTGAGGGTGAGAGAATCATCAGGCCCCAAAACAGGCCAAAATAATATCAAATGCAGTGCAGGTTTGAAGGTTCATGTTAACATTTTTGGCAATGGGCTTCAAAAAACATGGTTTTGTGTTTGATGTCCTATCACCCTAAGTCATGGCAAGTTCAACACATCAAACAGTAACCCTATTATCTAGGTTTGAATGAAAGTAAGTTTAACCAAATCCCTGAATTTAGAAGGAACTCTGCATCTTGAAGATTGTAAACTCCCAATGCAATTACATTTTTCAGTTCTAATTGTGGATTTTGTAAAAGCTCAAACCCAGAAATCTTCAAAAAGTTGAATTGAAGATTTGAAATTATATGGTTATATCACAGTGAAAAATGACATGCTAAATCCCTGAGTAATATTAAATCTCCAAAATGCAGCATATGCAGAAAATAACCTGTAACCAAAGTTCAGATGGGACACCATCACGAGACCCAACAAGACCAGAGGGAACCACTGCTCCTGCAACTGGTGTAGTTGGGATCTTGCCATGAAGAGCAGGAACAGCTGAGGCAGCTGGTCCACCCCAATAGTCCATCCCTATGTTTAAGTTAGTAGTAGGACCAGTAACACCACCAGGAGCAGCAGTGGGTTGCATCGCCATAATGGCCATGGTTTGATGATTCATCATAGCTTGTGGAGGGGTACGAGGAATTCCATTTTGCACAGCAGCCCGATTGCTCCCATTCTGAGAAGCCTCAGATTCCAAAGAACCTTGGCCACAGTGAGCCTTTTGCTGGGAACCCTACATCCAAGAAAGTGTATATGGTGTAACACTTGCGCCTTTCTCCTTAAAAAAGGTAAAAATGACTCCTTAAGAAAGGTAAAAAGGAAAAAAAGTTTTCAAGTGTATTTTGTTTGAGAGTACAATACACTTAATTAAGGGCAACTATAATTTAGACTCAGTAACAAAAGCTGTAAATAGCAGTAATCCCATAAGAAAATGGGAAGGGAACAGAAAAATAGAGCTGCAAAGTTAAAAGTGTTTAAATATCCCTATTTTCATAATAAGGGTATCGATTGATATATATCTATAATGCAACTCAGCCAGTTTAATCAATTTATTGACATGTTGCCAGTTAAATGTAAACTCAAAGGATGTGCATATGGAAGTCGAGGTCAATAGATTTGAAATATCTTCTTATCAAATTATAAGGTCTTGTATTAGAATATCAGAGCATAGTCCACATGTTGAGGGCAAATTCTTTGTTTTCTGTGCTCCTATTACCATAAAAAATAAAAAGATTTATTGCTGGTAGGTATCCAAGGGATCATCGTTGGATTCAAGCTACCTAATTGTTATGTAGGATCCTTGTATTTCAAGAAAAATTACTTGTAAAATTAAGAGTTGCACTATCTTTATTCAAGGATCGCTTCATAATGAGGACCTACTGCAAATCACAGGTGATAATGCATTGGTCATGAATTTCATAGAATTCAAATGTAGTTATTGAGTACGATTTGGAAAAGATCATGAGTTATAGAAATCACCAAAACTACACATGTCGATTAATTTTCATTAGTTGAATACTTCTCAAAAGGAACAATTCAAATCAAGAGAACCTGAGAACCAGTACACAACCAGAAGAAGATCCAATTAAGCAAGCCAACATCTGGGCCACAACATATCCAATATGTAACAAAAGCAAAATAATTTCAAAAGAATTTTTTTATACTTATGCTGAAATTTTGAATGAATAGGACACTCAAAATTTTTTTTTTTTAGCATGAATAGATTAGGAGAGTCCTGCATCCCTAGATCTACTTGCACAAGTGTTCTTAGATACAAATTTGTACCTATAAAAAATATTAACTACTCTCTTTATGCATGTCATATGTCTTAGACAAAACAAGATGACATAAAGAAACCAAGGAGCTGTTAGGCAACATACATTTTGGGAATTTGCGTCACTTCCTTCACTTGATCCTTCACTCCCGCTCTCACCACTGTGGATGAAAGGTTTTGTTTCAACTATCAGCAGGAATAGTCAATATGTGCATGAATGCAGAGCATCAAGCTCAAGTGAATCATACACATGAAATGATCCAGCACACATAGAAAGCCTACCTTTGTGAGTAGGCTCCATTCGCAGATGCTCCCGATGTTTTACCTAAATCGTTCTTGCCTGTAAGCATATTCAGACTACCTAAACTTCCTTTAGATCTATTCAGAGGGCTCCTTTCCTTGCCTTCTGATGACTTACGATCTCCTTCCACACCAGCAGGGGCACTTCCCTGAATAAGGCAACAAGCCATGTAATCATCAAGTTTGCACATCTTTAAAAGTATAAAGTATGCAAAACCCAAAGAACATGGTGACTATCCAACAAAGATTACTTAGAAAAGAAAACAATAACTCACCGAAGCTTCAGGATTGCCATTTGGAGAAGGAATAGCATATGGACTAAATGGATGAGATCCCTAACATAGATAGCACAAAAGGCAGACACTTAATTGACATCAGAAACTGGAATGGAATAAGAGACTCCTGATACTGCAGCATAGAGAATAGTTTTAGAAGAGAGAGATTGTAAACATACTGGTGGCATCGATGGATGGGCATAGAGCCCCCCGTGTGGATACATCGCAACATATGGATGCGGTGGGGTGCCATATGGAGGAATTATGTGCTGCAAAGTGACATTCCAAACAAATTACTAACCAAAAATGTACAAAGACACTATTTAATCAGAGAAAAATCGGCCTTCATGTATTCAGTTCTCGGCTAATTTGGGCCGAAAAATTCCTTCGCCCCATAAACAAACTAAAACAGGCAGAGAAACATCATCTGTGTAAGCTATAATAGCCTAAATTTCCCAGAAACTTGAGTGTTATTAATCTATCTGATCTTTTTTTTTCCAGGGAGGCTTTTAACTTCCTAAACCTTTCTCTTTTAAGTGACAAAAAAAAAGAGGGAAAAAGAAACATTATCTCAAGAGAAACAGAGTTCAGACAGAAATCTAAAAGCTATTTGCAGCTCCCAGCTGAAAATCTTTCTAAAGTCCAAAACTTTGGACCTCACTGAACTCCAGGCAGCCTCATCAAACCATCAGGTTTGACTCGACCATGCACTTCGAAGAGAAACTAATCAATTTTTTAATTATTTTTTCTATTTAGTATTTACTACAATTCAGACGTCCAAGTCTGAATCAGCCGTTTTACATCAGAAGAGATAGAAAAGGACAGAAGTTATTTCATGTTAGTCTCATATTCCAAGCAAAAGAAGTTAAATGGGTCCAATGTGTCTCAAAAGAAATACCTGCGGTCCCCACATGTATGGATGAGCTTGGGGGCTGGATGCCACAGAAGAGTGGAAAAAGCCAGGTGGAGGGATTGGGGGGGTTCCAGGATTATAGAATGCCTGTTAATGAGCAGAATTGTGACATCATTTCCTATCATTACTCAATTGAGAAAGAAGGCATATAACATAGTTCTCATGACAATGAGATCAAAAAAAAGAAACAATACCTGAATTGCAGACCAGTCAGGGTACACCGTGGCGGTGCTAGCTGGAGGTTGCTCCTGCAAAGAAATTCACAGATAACTTCAATTTGCCATTTCTATTTTAATCAGATTTTAACATCGGCTCAAGCGTCCAAGGAAAAGGAAAGATACATCGGCTCAATTGTCCAGGTAGGTGAACACGAACCTGGGGAGCAGAAGTCTTTGGCTTTGCTGATGTATCCACCTCTCCATTGCCCATGTTTCAAGTTTGCCAGAAATACTTGTGCTTCTCAAGCCATTCTTCAAGATGGCTGGCAAATACCACAAATCAATTAAGGAAAGAACAAATCAGCATAATCTAGAAATGATCAAATAGAAGAGAAAATGAGAAAGAATGCACAAGATACATCTACGGCCTATCAAACGTGGATCCACCAACAAGAGAGTAGAAATTTTAAAGCAGAAGCATAAAACAAACAAGAAAGGCTAAAAACTCCACTAGTAATAGACCTCCAAAACCCCTATGGAATGTTAATCCATAAGCCCCTGCCTTCCCAAGTTAGGAGTACAGAAAGAGAAATATTGTATAAAGCAGCACATAAAACTTCATCTTTTTATCCATAATTATTAAAATTCAATAATGAGAGACGATAACAAAATCTGAACAGAAGCAGAAATAAACAATATTGGACTAAAACCCACAGAAGATGAGTCAATAACTCATCCAGTATGACATTCCAAAAACCTGAACTGTTCCTAATTTGACCTGTATTTGTTGGCCTATCGACCAACGAAACTTGCTCTAAGAGCCTATCTCAGAGATTATCCCCAAGATATTCAGCAAGTAGGAATTGTGCTCCTCAACAATTTGACCTAACTAAGGAAATACAATCAGTAAAAGGAAAACAAGAAAAATGTGAACGGCCACAATTAACCATGGGCCTCTTTCCAATTGGTTCTGGTGAAACCTAAGATACCTGCATAACATGAAAATGTCTCAAATTCTCATCCAGAATAAACTAGTTCAATGCTACCATATCATAATTGCCTCATCGCTTCCATCTGAATTTCCCGAGAACCGAGTCTGTGCTAAGAACAGAGACTGCTCAAACCTATTCTAAAGTAAAGAAACCCATGTTTGAGATGAATATACTGTTAGCTATGAAAAACAAATGCTCATCTCAAATCAGTAAGGACAAGTAGCATTTGGAAGCATATGGGAGAACACGATGCCATCAAAATTCAGTACGAAATCACGAAAAATCCATATCCATAATTTACCTTTTCACTCCATAAAATATTTTATGAACCAATTGATGAGAGTTTATATCAAAACATGGTGGACAAGGAAGATCCTCACTCAAGGGTTGAGTTTCCATAAAAGGAATTAATCAACTTTATATCTGGAAAATTTAGAGAAAAAAGAAGAAGGCATGGGAGCAGAAAGATCTATCTTTTCAGAAAAATTTAGTGAAAATATCCATGCAATCCAATCCAATTAAAAGAAAAGCTCTATGTAACTCAAATATATTTATATCGATCACAGATGAGTTATGGTTAAAGTCTTTCTTAGATCACAGACCCTAAGCAGAGACTTGCAATCAAGATCCTAAAACTGGTGACAGATTCACCACTTGCCAAGGCTCAGAAAATTTGTCCAAGTCATGTACAATATCCACATGATAGAACAGAGTCCTTCATTTCTTCCCATCTAACATTGTAAGAGAGTATATTTAGGTGGCAGTGGAGGATTCTTGCTAATTTGATCAGTGTATATCCTGGGAATTTTGGATTTTTATGCACAACTATGAACATGTTTGCCATTTTTATATGACAATGCATAGTTGTGTTATTTCACTACTCAGTATCCACAATTAACAAAACAAACTAGTGACATGAACAGCACCATTGTATAAAGGACAACAAATCATTCAGTCAAATCACCAGAAAATGACTAATGGGTTCAGAAGGACATCATCAAAATATTCAGCACAATAACAAGGCAACAAGAAGAAAAAAAAATTTCCAGTAGACCACCAAGAATGCAACCAAATCAACAAATTTAAACCATTACTTTCCTTTTCAACAAATGTCCACAAGTATTGAATTAACAAAACAATGCAATATCGCGTAGACTTATCAATCATATTGGAAAAGTTAAAAAAAGTAAGAAAGAATAGCAACTAATCTAAGAGTCCACACGTTCATGACCATGAGAAGAAGAAAGATTAAGCCAGATCTCGATTAATACTTCAAAATCCATATCCAGGGGAAGGTTTTAGGGAAGTTTAAAAAAGTAAAATAATGCAAATATACAGTACATAAATAATTAAAAAAATAAGAAATTCCAAACTGGCAAAGTAAAAGCTCTCAAACCCTGATCAACATGTGTAACAGAACAAAAAAGGGAAAAGGATCAGGTACTCCGCCCATGAATAGAATAACACAGAGAGCTGTATGAAGCTTTTTCTTTGGGTAAATAAACAGAGATTCCAACCTCGGACGTTTTTCTGCACCGTCTGAAGCCCTAACCACCAAACTACGAGCCCAAACCCACACTTTGTGAAGCTTTATCAACAGCAAATTCCCCAACTATATTCTGAAAATGGATTACTTTCTACAATTAATTAGAGGTTTCAAGGATAATCAAAAGCTTCCGGGGATAATTCACTAAGATAAAAACAAAAAAGATTCAGAAAATTAATGCAGTTGCAGAGACAACGATTACAGCCAAATAAGGAAAAAGTGATGGTCCAGAAACCTGAAAAGCCATGTTAAACAAATCCTAAAATCAAGGCTTGGTTAAGCTTTATTAATGGCCGAACACTTAATTGTGATCCAAAACATATTTAACAACAGAAAAGTTTGCAATCAACGGATAAATTATAAAGTATCGCTTCCCAATAACTCAGTTACAGAGACATGGAAACCCTAGGATGCCCAGAAATTGTGACAGGTAATGAAGGACAACCGTAGTAACGAGAAAAGGAACTAGGCTCACAAGTTCATGAACTAGAAGCCATGAACAAAGCTCAATTATCGACAGCTTAATCATGACAGAATTTGTTTCCTTTATGCAGGTTCTGAAATTGATTTGAGTGTTACAAACTTACAATAATCAACAACTGCTACTATAGGCCAACAAATGAAATGGAAAAATACATCTAGAAAATGCATTAAAAATATATGAAACAAGAAAATCCCAGGCAATTCACAGCAACAAGGATCATGTGATTACATTCATAAACCAGATACAATAGATTTAGATTTTAAAATGCTTTACCAACACCAGAAATCCTAATTCTCATAAGAAAATAGCTCCAAGTCCACAAAGATCTAAAATCGATTGAATAAACAAGTCAAAAACACTAATCAGTTGCAGGAAAGCCAGAACCACAAAACAGTTCCAAACAAACAAGGCAAATTCAAAGCCTCAGAAACCCTAGAACACCAAAAACACCTGAAAGGCTAGAGCTCTAAGCTATTGAGATCGGTTACCCACGTTCACGATAAATACACTACAACAGTGCAAGAAAGCTTCTTTAATGGCAGAAACCACGCTATGATCTGAGATGTCGTCGCTGACGAAAAACTCTCTCTTCCATTAATTAGGGTTTGGAGAGAGATTTGGAGAGAGTATAAATTACAGATGATTTGCTGGCAAATAAACCGGAGTTGCAGAGAGATAGAGAAAGGAGTTGCAGAGAGATAGAGAAAGAGACAGAGAAACCCTCTTTTTCTCTCTCTTCCCACCTCTTAACTACTTTTGCCCAAAACTTGCGACGTATACGAATACAAAAATACGGGTACGGATATCTTATACGAAGTGAATACGGTTCCTAACCCTTGGGGTTAACCATAACCATGGGTTACAGAACGCACGTAAGGGTTGACCATACATTGACCCGATAGAAGCGTGTCTCCACGTGTACAGATAGACCGTTACAGTTGAGTGCATATATCATTGCTCTTTTCTCCTACTCTTTTGCGACCGTCCATTTTTAAGTTTTCATAAATTGGGATCTACAAAATTTTTGAAGTTTTAAATTTTATAAATAAAAATAAAAATATATTTTAAGGCTATCACAAAAATTTTAGTATTAAAAGCACATTTTTTGATACTATTTGAAGGTAGGCTCTAATTTGTTCATTTAAGGCTTAAGCTCTATACAAACCGGCACCCTTATTTTTTTAGGCGGATAAATGGTACAAATAATTTTTTTTTAATTAAAGCTGATCCTTAAAATTTAAAGTCTTAAAATCAATTCTAGTTGAGGTTTTACCTGGCAAAATAACATTCCACTCCCAAGGAGTATAATATATTTTGGCTTTGGAGTTCTTTTAGCTTTAGAGTTGGGTGAGGTTTTGGTGCACCAGCGGATGCACCTGTTTTGGTGCACCCGAGACTGCAAGTGTTTGTATGCATCCCCCTTCCAATATCTATGTTAGAGAGCGATAATGAAGGTAGAAAAATAAATATATTTTAAATTTAAAATATATTTTTTGAATTATTTTGTGTTGTTCATTTTTATGCTTTGTAGATAATAATGGACACGTCATTTTTTAGCTCTAAAAGATGGAAATAAGCCTAGGTGGGTACATGAGTCGGCTACCCATGGTATATTTTTCGTTTAGAGGCCATTTGGATATTTAGAAATATATAAAATGGATTATTACTGTTTGGGTAGTATTTAGATGCAACTTGAGAAATACATTGTTATTGTTTGGTTATGTCTGGAAGAAATATGGGAAATACATTACCAACATTTTATCAGCATTTGCCTATAAACTATCATTTATTTATTTTTTGTCATAAAATTTCACAAGCATATAGAATTAAAATCATCATCACATCATTCCAGAAAGATTTTCTAATAATAACATCATCACCATTATAGTGAGAGAGAGAGAGAAATAAATGTATTAATAATCACCATTCCAAAGATAGAGAGAGTATAAAGTTTTGATTTTAATCATCACCATTTTAAAAAGTGAATGAATGTGAAATAAAGTTGTCATTGTTCCAACAAGATTTACTAATATTATCATAAATATAGAAACTAATAGAAAAGTTCATCGTCATCCACCAAAAGAAAGAGCAATAATATATGTGTGTGTGTGTTAGAGAGTAAGTATAGCAATTTGATAACAAAAATTTCCAAGTCCGAAAACCATCTCAGACAAATAAAGAGTGAGAAGAACCCAAATAAAAAAAACATAGATTTCACTTCACTTTACATGTCACTGCCTTCTTGAAAATACTTCGAGTTAATCCAAAACACCTGGTCTTCTTCAGTCATTTATAAAAATCCCTTACGAATATTTATGTTTGCCATCATTTCATTATATACTCACATGAAGACAGGTCGAGCAAGGCCATTAACCTATTTAAGAGCTCTATAGACCTCTCGTATATGTGGGTTTGCTGCCAGTTTCTTCAACTCTAAAATTGCAGCACCAATTTCTTTCACAGCTATACCTATCGACTCTACAATATCAACCATGATTTTTTTTTTCTTCTTCAATGGCATAACCGATGTTGATTTCTCAAATAGATTGGTGGTCATTCGATTCGTCATTGATTGGACCGGTGTCTGTGGGAAGTTCTCATCATCACCTATTTCCTCAACACCATCATCATTATCTAAGCCTACAATTGTCTCTCGACCATCATCAATGTCCCTCTCTAGTTGTGTTGCCGTCCTAGCACCAGCACCCTCAACAAAATCATTGCCGACAACTATGCTCAGTTCCTTCCAGTATTTCAAAGACTTCCCTTTGTCGTTCTTTGTAATCGGATTAGACTGCAAGACTAATACAATATGCATTAACTTAAATAACTAATTTATATTTTTTTTAAATAATAAAAAATTAGATAGATGAAAACACATATATATACCATTATGTAGGCATCCCATATAGATTCATCGATAATGCCCATATGTGATTCTTCATTCCATCCAAAGCCACTTTGATCCTTCATTTTTTTTATTGTCTTGTAGTTATTTGGCCACGTTCTAAGTTTATTATTAAAAGTATCCCTTCTCAAATTCATTCCAAGATTGATATTGAACTTCTCCTCAATTGCACTCCATTGCTCATTTTTAAAAGCTGATTCGGGCTTCTTAATGAGCAAGCATTGCTCAACAAGTAGCTCCAACAAAATTGCCTCCATTTTTTAATTCCATTTAAGTTTCATCCCTGTCTTGGGATTTTACTGAGTCATTAGAATTTCATTCGCCATGTCTAGCATGAATTATCAAATATCACTATCACATCAACTATTAATTTTTTTTTTTATGGAATGCATTCATCTAATATAGCAATGTAAAATACAATTACAAAACTAAGTTATACATAAGCAAACTAGAAATTTGCATAGATTTAAAATGGTCATAATGTCTAATAAAAAAACATAAACCAAGCAAAATCAGGTTTACATCCCATAAAAGTTTTTCTCATGAATTCATCTCAATTACAAAAATAAAAATTATGAGTTTCAATTAAGACGACTCCTATAATCTGCTCACATCCGCATCGCAAGGTCATCTTTGAACTCAGACCACTCATCTCTCTCCCTTTGACTACTCCCAAATACTTTCGACTCCAGAACTTCTACTAACGGTGATTGGTTTTGATCAGTTATTACATCTTCACAATCAAGAAGGTCACCATCTTCACTTATAATGAAATTGTGTAAAATATAACATGCAACTACGATCTTGACTTGTGTTTTGATTGGTTAGGTAGTAGTCACTTTCAAGATAAGGAAACATGTATTCAAAACTCCAAAAGCACGGTCAATGGCATTTCTAAGCGAGGAATGTCGTTTATTAAACAACTCATTGTGGTTCGGTGGTCTTTTTCTACCACGACCATAGTTATTCAAATAGTAACAAGTCCTTCGATAATGGGCGAGAAATCCTTGGATATTAGGGTACCCGGCATCAACAAGATAATATTTTCCTACAAAATGAATATTTGATTGAGATTAAAATCAATCGGTAATATATTGTTATGTAAACAAATATAGTGTCAAAGTTAGAGTCGAAATACCATTGAGAACTCCAAGAGGATCATCATAGGAGAGTGATGATTGCAAAACGTGAGAATCAGCAATAGAGCCCTAACATCCAGCAATAATGTATTGGAATTGAAGGTTAAATGAGCAAACACCCATCACATTTTGTGATATAAAACCCTTTCTATTATGATTTTTTTTTTGGAGACTAGTCCGAGCAGTTGCTGAGATATGAGTGCAATCAATGGCTCCAACACAATCCTATTATTGAGAAGCAATTAAAATATTGTCGAATACCACATTAATCAAGTAAAAAACAATAAGTATGACCAATATTCATTACCTTAAAATAAGGAAAAAACGTCCCCTTCTTACAAGCTATTTCTGGTGGTATGTTTGACTCTGGTAGTTTGAAGAATTCCCTGTGAAGTCCTATGACTGCATTCAACACTCAGTTAAAGTGTCGACTGACAGTTTCTCCTGGGTGACCAAACTCATAACCAATCTTTCGGTTCTTCAAGTTGTGGCTTAGAATGTGCATGAAGATCACAAGTTGTTCATCAAATGAAACCCCCATTATATCAATGATATTTCCTCTCTCTAAAAAAATATTGCTCAAGATACAATAAACTCTTTTACTCATTCTAATTTGGTTTCGATAGTCCACCTCAGTAGAGTTAATTATCGTCTTATGGTACTTTGTACCAATTGAATTACGCTTTGGTGCAGATGATTTATTCACATAGGTAGCTAGAATAGTACCTAATATAGCTAGAGTACTACCAGCTGTAGCAAATGATCTGGCTATTTTCATCTTTACTTCATGCTTGAGGTTTTGATTGTTACTCACCATGGGAAAAGATTGATCACTCTATAAGACCTAAAGAAAATCCCAATAGGAATCACAATATAGATACATATATACAAACTACTCATTTTTCAGTGATGTGGTTATGAATGAGGTCCACAAAGAGACAACCTGGTTATTATAAATGCCTAAATGCATTGGAGTTAATGTAACGACGATGCTAATGGCTAACAAATTTAACAACCATGATGGGTAATCAAGAGCAAACATAAATAAGCATAATTTAAGATCAAGAATTCCATTTAATTAGCAGTGAATATCTATGCCCATAGACTGGTGTGGTTAAGAGAAAAAGATAAAAATCAACGTGATTCCAATAGCAAGGGTGCATAAGTGATTTTGAGGCATTTATGCGAAGGACTTCAAAAACCAGACGTACGGAGAACACAAGGTTACCTAGTTATTTCTTATATTCCAACAAAAGACGAACTAGGATGTCTCAAACTTCCAATTGTCTAGGTTTCATAGGTGTTGCAGATCAGGTTTTTCAATGTTTTTCTATAAATCCTAGGCATTATTTTTAGAAGGGAAGTAGCAAAACATGTCCAAGTTAACGAGTGCATCTGGTGAAGTTAGTGCTTCTTTTGGTAATAGAGCTCAAAACAACAGCTCTTACAGTCGGCCAATTGCTTCCCTAAATCCAGCAACTATGTAGAGAAAATAAAAGAAATTGTTATTCTTATGAAAAATACAAAATTGTTGGTTCCAGTTAAAGAACTCTATTTCTTCCAAAACCAAGCAGTTCCTGTTTCTTTCAAAACCCAGCAGTGGTCCTCCACCTTTCTTCCAAAACCCTTTGGCTATAATATGGCCTCAACTCTCAACTAGTAGTAGAGCAACTCAATCCCCGTCTAAATTAAGAATACTTTAAAGGCTCCCATAACCCAAATATAATCTATTCCACATTGCACCTATTCCCACAATTTACAGAAACGATGGCATTTTCCAAGCAAAAAAAGAATTAAACATACAAAACCTTCCAATAAATAATAATAATAATAATAATAATAATAATAATAATAATAATAAAACCCAACCATAAACAGCCAGCCATCCCAACAATCTCAACAAATGAACAAAACCAAGTCAAAAATCCAAAGTTGATATATGTATATTCATAATCCTATAAATATGAGGAAGAAACCAATCAACAAATGCTCAAAACTATAAGAAAAAACAAATCATCAAAATACTGAGAAATAAATACCATACCCAGAAAATTATTTCAGCCAAATTAGATCTCCAAGAAAGATGATGGAAGATCTCCGACATAAAACTATTTACACATACAAACAATTTACAAGAAATAGTTTTTTAAGCCTATTTTTACTTATGTTCAGTAAACATCTAGAAAATCATGTATAACCACTTTCTTAGTAACTTGTTTGATAAATTGTATAAACCATGAATAAAAGAAGATGAAGTTTCTATAACGCCTAGGCTTTATGAAAACAAAATAAAGCCTCACTCAAATCCTCGTCCGGAAAGCACTTTTGGCAATGGATATCTCTATGATGGATCTAAAATCAATTTCCAACATTGACAATAAACTTTGAAAATAAAAAAAAGTATAGATCTTATGGATCCATGAACAATTATTTTTAGGGTGAAATAGACAGTCTACACAAATTCCTTTGTTATAATGTACACTATTTGTAGAGCTTAAGATCCTAATTTTTTTGTACAACCATAATGTTCAAGCGAAGATGATCAATGTAAAGGTTTTCCAATGCTTGAATTGTAATTTTTGATGAGTTATGAAGTGAGGCTTTACTTACTTTAATAGAGCTGCGGCCCTATCAAACCATTTTCCATACAAGAACAACCATGAATAGTATGAGAGCTCATCTCAATGCAACAAAAAAATTAAGAAACTAGTTGTCTTCCTTGTCTTTGACGTCCTCATTTGGGATAGCAAAGGAGAGAGAGTGAGTGAGAGAGAGAGAGCATCAAATCTACTATAAAATTTCCTTAGAAAATCCCCCAAAACAGTGTGGGACCCGATGTTGAAAAGAATTCATACTAAGTTGAACTTATGAAAATCAAATCGACCTTATCCAATATGCTAGTTTATTTGCTATCTTTGCTGCATATGCTTGCTTACATTACTAAAGATATAGAATGCCTAATGCAGAACTTTCTTTGGGGTTCTCTTGATGTTAATCGTAAATATTATCTTATCTGGCAGGTTGGATAATGTATGTACACCTAAGTCTAAAAGGGGTTTGGAATTCATAAGATCAAGCTAGTAAATCAAGCTCTTCTTGCCAAGTAGTGGTGGAGGGCTATGGCGGATGGAGAGCAATTATGGAAAGAGGTACTTATTGTTAAATTGTTGGGTTTATGTGGCCTTTAAAAATATTAAGAGAGATTATATAAACATTGAATAAATAAATCATAAACTCGATAGGAATATGGTCATTTTTTGAACCATACTAGGCAAATACAATTCACTGATACTCGAACTAGGCTTGATATGCTATGTCAGTCGAGTTGGAAATCCGAAGGTACCTAGGCATAGAGATGAAACCGATGAGGATTTAGTGGGTTAGTCCTTGATGAGGTCGGAGTATGCCCGAATGACAGCTGAGGGACTGTATGATCATTGTGTATGATGAATAGTCTATAGAGACATGGTTAAAACATCATCGTTATATCATCACACACCATGTACATAGACAGATGTACTGAGATAGTAATACACCATTGAGAGTGAAGGGTGTATATGTGTGAGAGATTATTGCTATGCACCATAGAGTCATGGTTGCATCATGGTCTGATGGATTATGGTTTGTGTCGGAGAACCTGAAATCTACAGACTGTGATTACGTCCCTTAGCCCATTGATTGACTTTAGCGGTACAATCATGAGCGCTTAGAATGGACTGTTGGTCATAAGAACTGCTGGATCAGTTTGAGAAAGCTAGTGTGGATCGTGGTTCACAGTTGAAGGTGAGGTGCTCATATGCGCTGATTAAGTCCTAGACCTATTCGGATCCAATTCTCATCAAAATTAATTTAATTTAATTAATTTTATATTATTTGACTTTTAAAATGTTTATTTGAATTTTTATGAATCTTCTGATATTTTAATTTTGTCATTTGGATTTATAAATCAAGAGAAATTTATTTCTAAAGTTTTAAATAAACTAAGATGTTTGAAAACTCTAAAAATCAATTTTTATTATTTCTAAAATATGTGGGACCCTCCATAATTATTGAAGGCCTATTTAAATCACATGGAATAATTGGGTGGGGCCCATGAGGTCATCAAAGGGTAGCATGCC